AAAGCGCAAGCTTCCAAAGGGAGAGTTTAAGCCCTGGGAGCGCAGGCAGGATTCTGGCAACTCCTGTGTCTGAAGGTATTGCTAAGGCCTTGTTTTTCAATGATACAGTCCTGGAAAATCGTCGTGCTTCTGAAGGCAAGAATCGCCTCTCCTGTGCAAATTATTCCGGGGGAGTGTTGGGAGGGACTGGCTGGTCTCCTGAGTTGTTCTTCCAAGCTCGGAGCCAAAATACCAAAAAATGATGCTTCTACACTGTGTTCTTTGTAGTTATTTTTAAGAAGGAGACAGATGAAGAAAAGAACTGTTTCTAAACAAATAAATTATTTATACACCTTAACATGTGTTCTTTAGATGAGTTACTTTTTTTGCAGGGTTTTGTACAGCAGGGATGTTGGGTAAAATGAAATTTTACCATTGCTTTAATCTCCTTTACTGCAGAATAACTCTAGAACATGGAATAAATGGTTATGTAAATGCTCTTAATAGATGTCATTTTTTCAAGTGCTGCAGGTAGGTTCAGTTCAGTCTCTCCCTCACAAGTAGAGCCCTGGAGTCCGTGTCCACTCCAGCTTCTTACCTGGTGGATGTTTGTGGAGGGGCCAAGTTTCCATCACAGAGTAATCAGGAAATACCACACAGGAGCCTCGTGTTTGGATCCTGGGACAGTGCTGACAGGCAGGAGGCTGAGGGGTTAGCAGCAGGTCCCAGCTCTTTAGGCTTTTTCAAGGTGAAGGCTGCTGGGGCTGACTCTGGTCTGGTCCTTCCTCTTCCTTGCTTTGGGATCCTCCATGTCTTCCCCCCCAAAACAGCTTCATTTGGGATCCCGGAGCAGAGAAGAGGAATCTTGGGGCTGCTGCAGGAAGGTGGTGGGACGTGTCCCATAGAGGAGTGTGGGACTGAGGATCCCATCAGTGAAAATGCTGCCCTGTAGAGCCACAAGCAGGCCAGAAATTACCTGCTCTGATTTTTTTTTTGGGGGGGGGGCATAAAATAAATATGTACCATTACACTGTAGGAAGTGTTTTTACTGGAGGCCAGGAGATCTCTGTTCAATTCTCTGCTACAAGTTAGTTTTTATTATCTATTTAGCAGAGGCCTCTCCTCACCTTGCTATTTGCAATATTCCTAAGACCCAGACTTGCTGCTTTTTTCAGGAGAATCTTGTGTCAAGGAGCAAACTATCAAAACAGATGGCAGTGCAGACACAGCCTCTGGCTGAAAAAGTCTGAGAATCAGAAGTTTGTGGCTGGAAGTTAGAAGAGTATTTTGGGAATGTACCACTTAGTGCCAATCTTGTTCCTGTGCATTTTGCTTTGTGTTTTTTCTTGGTCACTTGGGATTCAGGGCTAGACAGACATCTTTTGTGGATCTCTTTGGCTTTTCTAACCTTGCACTCGCTTGGTCTCAAAGTAAAACTGGGGATTCCTGGAACACATCCAGGAATCCTCATGTCCTCACACAGTGTGCAGGGAGCGTTGGGTACCTCACCGCTGAGACAGGATCTGCCTACGGCAGCCAAGGAAACCACACTTGGGTGGATGAAAAAAAGAGCTTTGAGCTTTTTTTCTGTCATTTCACATCTTTACTCTGTAGAATTAACAACTTCCCTGTGCGCTCTTTTCAGGACGCGGTTGCTCCTGACCTCGTCCCCTCGGCAGGACCTTCCAGCGGGATCCGCGCTGCCGGTTGAGGCTTTCCAGGCGCTCGGGGCTGCCGGGAGTTCTGCGCCTTCCTGAGCCCGTTTCTCCGCGGCGGGAGCAGGGCTGGAGTTGATTGAGTTTCCTCTGCGAAGCAGCGGAGTGTGGATGAGCTGCACCCTCCCTGCCAAGGGCAGGGCTCTGCGGAGAGGACCCAGCCTTGTGTGCACGCAGCCGGCAGCACGGGTAAGCTCACTTCATACGGGTGTTTGAGGGCAGCCAGGTTTTTCTCCACTATTTACATTTTAGGATACGGAGGCTCAGAAGTAGAGAGACTCACTCTTAAGTGAACATGGAG